CATTAAAAAAGTGTGCCTTTGCACAAAAAAGGTTGAAAAACACTGGTCTACTACATTATCAGCCCCAGGAGGAAGGCCACAGAAGTTTCGAAGGTGAGCTAAAGGCCTCTGCTAGGAAGGACTGGATTTTGAGAGGGTCAGCCAGAAGAAGATGGAGAAGGTCAGCTAGTATAAATGGTCGAAGAGTGAGGTTGTCGTCCCATCTTTCCATGCAATCAAGATCTCACCATGCTTGAGCGAAGGAGAAGGGGAAGCAGAGGCGGCCTGCATCTTGGGAGACTAAACATAAAGCAGTGATGGCTAACCTTTTTCAGATCACGTGCCAAAAGCGGGGGGAGCGCAGGGGGGTCATGTACAGGCGTGCCCACACACATAATGCTATGTGTGCATGATCCTCCCTTCCCCCACCCCGGTTTTGGCCCGTGATGGACCCATTTTTCGCCCTTCCCAGGCTCCAGAGGCTTTCTAGGAGCCTAGGGAGAGCAAAAACAGCCTTCCCCCACCAGAGATCCTCTGGAGACTTCAGGAGGTTTTCCTGAAGGCTACGGAGGGCAAAAAAACAATCCTACCAATAAACCAGAAGTCACTTCTAGGTTGCCTGTAGTGCCATTTTTCGCCCTCCAGAGGCTTCAGTGAAGCCGCATGAAGCCTCTGGAGGGTGAAAAATGACCCTACGGAAAAACCAGAAGTCACCATTCCCGAAGGCTCCGGAGCACTAAAAACGGCCCAATGTGCAAACCGGAAGTCTGTTCCTGAACTTCTGTTTTGCATGCTGTGTGGTTTTTCGCCCTCCAGAGGCTTTAGGGAAGCCAAAAAACGGCCAAAAAAGAAAGCTGAAGTCAGCTGGCTAGTGCGCGCATGTGCGCTGGAGCTGACATGTTGCGTGCCCTAACAAATGGCTCTGCATGCCACCTGTGGGACGTGTGCCATAGGTTCGCCATCATGGACCTAAAGTGTTTGCTGATCTTATCCATTTTTTATCACTTCCTTATATGTGTGTAATAGTGCTTTAATTATTTTAATGGTTTTCACTGCATTACAAAATAGGAAAAGGCATTTTTTGGTGGAAGGATGCTAGAAATATTTTAAGATGCACATAAATATATAACTTAATAGTTACTATTATGGAGGAGCATCATGAAACAGTAATTTTATAAGAAATCAGGTTATTTAATGTACTGTATTTCATTTGACTCGATTGTTTTGTTCATATGTCTATAATTACATGCATGCTTTTGCAGAAATGTAGGTTTAAGTGCTAGGCTTTTTCTAAAGGATCTCAGAAAGATATAAATCAAAAATAAGAGGCAGAAGAGTTCATTTTGTTTAAAAAATGCTTTCCTTGGGGAAATGTAGAGTGACCTTCAGTTACAACTGGGCAAGATAAATATTTACTCTCCCTAGCAGTGAACATCTTACTGAAGAGTAAATAGTATTTGGCAATGAATAGTCAATGTTTGGCTAGAAGTCAAGTACCACAAAGGCTAATTCTTTTTGGAAGTTTTTTGTAGACTTTTCAATTTCTTATCTCTATTATAGATATTCTTTTTACAAATGAGGATTAGGGTGATTCAATCCTACTTTTTATGATTTAGCCATTTTATTATTTCACTTTTACTTGGTCTAGATATAATAGGATGATTTCCTCCCAACGGGTATGTAGTAATTTGTATTGATCTGGTCATTTTTTATTACATTTCAAATATATAAACCATATAACCAGGGGTGGGCTGCTGGGGGTTCGCATGGGTTTGGGTGATCCTATAGCTAGGATTCTCCCCAGTTTGGCAAATCCAGAAATGCCACCAATGGCTGGCCCCNGAGAAGGAGGTGACTTTCTTTTAATTATTATACTTACTGCTGGGTAATAATTTTTATGCAAGTTTTTTTTCATGCTTCAGCTTGCTACAAAATGCCTTTTGTGACTAGTAAAATAATATGTAAGTGTATTAGGAATGTAATGTGCATGAAATGTCTGGTTTCAGGTAGCCTATATCTGAACTGAAACATGTTTTAAGTCTTAACATTTATGAAAGAGGTTGTTTTGGTTCAAGGTTGACTGATCAATAGAAAAAACAAGGACATTAATAGTTAAGGAGAGGTAAAAAGATTGGAGAGGGAGGTAGCGTAGTGGGATATATTAGGCTAGGACATCAGCAATGGTGATAGAGGGAAGCAAGGAGGAGGAAAAGTGCTAGGAAAATCAGGTGGTCTGGTTGAGTATGATGGGCAGCATCAGCATAAGGGAGAGAGGGAAAAAGGTTGGAAAGATTAGGGAGCTGGTGGGGTTATGCTTTACTTGCTTCATATGTTTTTCTGAAACCTAGAATAGCCAAAATATTCTAGAATTTGGTTCTGCCAAGATATATCTAATCAGAAATAGTTCATTATAACTTCTAGAATGTGATGGTTTTGTTCCAAGGTAACAATTTTGTTCACATTCTACAGGATACACGCTTTCAGAAGAAGCTGAGGTAGCATGAGTTTAGAGTATTCCTTGCTGATTCTGCTTTTATATTAATAATATATAGGGGATAAAAAGATGTTTGCTGAATTATGACTAGTAAAGTTTTTCTAAAGTTTTCAGTAGTGTGATGTTCTGTTTACCAAAAAATAAGGTTAACTCGTATTTTTGCATTTCTACATAGACTCTTATGTTCTTAATTAGAGACTGGAGCTATCCATATGAACACCCATACGGTTTAAAAGGAGGAAAACAATTTCTAGAAAAGCGATTACAGGTAATTCATTATCAGTAATAGTTGATTTTTGTTTAAGGGGAGCTGAGCTAATTGGAACATGCAAATAATTATTTTGGTATTAGATTATTTCTAGCTGGCTGCTAAAGAATTTCATTTTTTAAAAATGTATGTTGCTTCTAGGTAAAATTACACCAGCACGAAGAGCTCCAGAATGTAAGGAAGCACATTCATTCATGTTTCAGTAACCTAGGCTGTTTCCTGTTGCCACATCCTGGTCTTAAAGTTGCAACTAACCCAAATTTTGATGGGAGACTAAATGGTAGGAAATTTTCTGTTTATATAGCTAGCTAGGAGGTATTAAAGACTCAAATGCACTTTGAATGGTTGCATTAAAAGAAGTAAAAAGAAATAGTAAAGTGTACCCAAGTCTGAAAGCCACTATAGTTGAAAATTGATGGGATAATTTAGATGGTTGTTGGAGGAATACCAGCAGCATATTACTTCTGTTTAAATTCTTCAGTTAAAAACTGTGCAGTTTTCAGAAGAAATGCTATACAACATGGAGGAATGAAATACCTCTTCAAACCTCTAAGGTGGCCATATCTTCTGCAAGACATATAATAGCCACTTTGGAAGTATTCCTGGGCTGCCTCAGCAA